CCCAAAATTAAGGGGTGGCAAAAATTTAACTTAGAGAGGTGCTTGGTAGCAGAATTTAGGAACCACAGAGACTGCATCAGGTTGCAAAATATCTATGAACTTAAAAACTGAGTGCACATATTCGATAGACTGGTTAACCAAACTTTAAAATCGCTGTGTTATAATGCAATTAAAAATTTCAATTGAAAAGGCTTCAGCTGATACTGAAGCTGCTGAATTCACTGAGCTCATTAAAAGTGAAACGTTATCTGCAGCTCAAGTTTACATATCTGATAAAACCGGTCTTTTTTCGCAATATGTACCATGATATATCTCAGAAAGGAAAAACAAAGAAAACGCTCCAACTGGTGTCAAGTGTAAACTTTTCATAATCTGAAAAAATTACATGACCTTGAGCATTTAAAGGAGTAAAGGTTTACCTGTTATATTGGGTCATATAAAAAGTCTCCATGCTTTTTTGCCTTTAGATGGTATTGATGCCTATATATCCAGCAGCACTCACCCGATTGTCTAAAACAAACATGTGCTTAAAAGGCGGCATTCAGCTTCCATTGGGTGTGAAGATAGTTTTTTAATTTGTTGCTCATATCAAAAGTTATATTGATTTCAAAATGAGTGAAATATATGAAGAAATCCGGTATGTGATGCTTTTTTTACTATAAAAAAGGTAAAAACGCTTCAAAAACATGCCGAATAATTTGTGAAGTATAAGGTGAGAATGCTCTGGTTGAACGAAGGACACAGCAATGGTTTACATGATTCCATTCCTGAAATTCCGATGTCGAGATTGGAAGGGAATTGTCCATTACGAGCCACTGCAACCAGGTGAAACCATCAATTCGGCCCTGTACTGTACACAAATCGACCGTTTGAATGAAGCAATCCAGAAAGGGAGACCAGACTCAATCGACTGAAAGGAAGTTGTGCTCTATCATGACAATGCACAGCTACACACATTTTTGATGACTCGAAACAAATTGATGGAACTTGGTTGGGAAGTTTTGATTCACCCATCGTATAGCCCGGACCATCTAACTAACATTTGTTTCGGTCTCTGCAAAACTCTCTTGATGGTAAAAAGTTGGCCGATCGAAGTGCTGCTGAAAATCACTTGGCCAAGTTTTTTATGATAAACCACAGAAGTTCTACACCGATGGAATTATGAAGCTAACCGAAAAATGGCCAAAGCTCATAGATAATAATGGCCAATATGTAGTTCATTAAAATTGATTTTCAATAAAAAATATTTTGTTCAAAAATGTACCAAAAAAGCGCAGAGGCTTTTTACATAACCCAATATTATGCAAATAAAAGAACATGGATGACACAAGCGTTAATGTATGATTTATTATGGTTTGAAAATCATTTTATACCCGAGGCCTGGCAAAATTTGAATTTGTTTGGTTTACCTGATGACGCAAGGTTTAATGAAAGATAATGTATCCACGTTATTTTTTCCTCCAAACTGCATGTCTATCATTCAGCCTATGTAATATCGGAATAGTATGTGTGCTGAACTGTAAATATAAAAGCCGCATTTTTTAAATCCATATTAAATTTCTTTAATAATGGCAAGACTATTCTTGAATATTTCAAGAATATCAGAAATTCCGTGTAATTGTTTTGGAAGTATCAGCTGCCATCGGAAAGCTTTTCGATCATCCGATTTGAATTTCGGGTACAAGATGCCGTTTCGAATATGGAGCGAGTCTCAGGGTGCCCAATATTGTTTTGTTGTAGGACTATAGATCGAAATGTCCTGTCAGGTAGGTTTTCTGTTTGAGGACTCCATTAAATCAATTACGGATTTAATGTCACCGTCTTCCAGCTGGTCTTTCCTGACTTCATCTTTGCTCCAAGGTCTCGATCAGCCGATGTTGATGTTGTAATTTGTCATGCGACTGGACTCAGCAGCTCGTATTTCGCTTCGACCCTGGAACAATAATATATATTGTTCCAGGTTACAATAATATATATAATATGGTTAAAATAATATATATTTTAACTTGTCTTGTCCATCGAGTTGAGAAAATAATATATATTTTAACATAATATGTATTATTTTAACATACATAAAATCTGCTGTGTGCAGCATCACAAGATCGTAAGAGGATGCGCCTCCAGATACTTTAAAAAAATGCTTGGCATAATTTATGACCAGCTACCATGTTTCGTGGTGAGGATGATGAAGATGACAGCCACGAATTTGAAGACTAGGATATCGCAAACCATAGGCGAAATTTTCCATTTAATAGATTTTCTATAGAAGTGTGGAGAAGCAGTAATAAATGAAGATTATACAACAAAGTTTTTCATTGTGATGACAATGCTTCAATCATCAATCAATTAACAGACAGCGAAATCTGTAGTACGGTTCTAAATCCAGAAAATACTGATACCAATAGTGAAGAAAATCAGAGAAAGGTTACTGAAAACAAAAAATTTCAATTGACAAGTTAGTCCGAATTCTCGAAACAGTAACTACAGGACTTGAACAGTGGAACTTTGTAACTGAACAAGAGATTATGTCTGTCTATAGAATTAAAGAGAAAGTATTAGCACAAGAAACGAACACAGAAACATTTACATTCACAGAAATGTTTAATAAACAAATAAATATTAAGCTCTTTTTTGTAAATTTTGATACCCTTTAGATCATAAATGATGCTCCATTATTTCATAAATCAAAATTTCATATTTTTAATTCTATAATTATACTTGCCATCTTAATAGATTTAAACTGATGATCTAATATCTGGAAAAATCCCAAATCTGGAATCTTCAAAGTCCTGACAAGTTCGGATCTTGGACTTTGTACTGTATATACCAGATTATAAATAATTATTTAGTATATTTTTCTTTCAAGAAATGGGCTACTTTCAAATAATTTTGATTACAAGTTAACATCTAACATCTAAACATCTAAACAAAAACAAGTAAATAACATCTAAACAGTTTATATTAGGCTATTTATTAAGTCCATGAGCTAATTCTTTTTACTTACATTATATTATTGAAAGTTAATTAAGTGACATTGTTTTCATTCATTAAATAATATATTTTTTTACCATTACAGTAGAGTCCTACAAACTCGACATAATGTGGACTGAGAGACTGTTGAGTTTCCAAAAAGTTGAGTTTTATGGAATAAGGGGTGGATTTTTCAAAACTATTAATATTTAACCCTTTCATGCACACGATATTATTTTTATAATGTTTTAACTAAAAATCGAATATTATGAGCCTAGAGACAAAAAATATATGAATTTAAAAAATCTACTCTTGCCCATTGATCTGTGGGTGATGATACCGCTTTTTTTATCCGTCGAGAAAGCCAGAACTAGCAGTAAATCCAGGCTCTCCATCTTGAAAGATGAATTTAGGGCTTTCGCTTGTAAAATTGTTCCTGAAGTGGGTGTTCCCTGTTCCCTTTGCTGCCTGAACAACAAATAAAGCACCTCACTCACTTTTTTGTATTCATTCCCTTTCAATACTTTTTCTTTCCTTTAAGCTATCCACACATGCTCTTTTCACACACCAAGACTCGATTTCAGACTTCTTCTTGTTCCACCCTATCATTGTAATGAGGCCAAAACCTAAATTCACAGTTTTTTTTTTTTTTTTTTTTTTTTTTTTTTTTTTTTTTTTTTTTTTCATTTTCCTCTTTGACTAGTCTCTTAAAGGCATCTAATTTCATTTCCATTGTCACATTAGTTTGTTTTCTTTTCAAACGACATTTTCACTGCACAGAATATCAAAAGTTCCCAAAAACGCCTAGATGTAAACTAAGGAACAATACCCACAATGAACTTCTGGGGATTTAGTTTGCAATAAGATACAATCACAAAACTTCAGACAAGTCTCCTAACATTTCACAACAATAGAAAGGAATGTGAGCCAGCCACTCCCTGACTTTCTCCATGTCCTGGATAGAAGCAAATAGCATTGCCAAGTATTAATGCCACAATGCAAAAATGGCAAAACGTTACGGAAAAAGAATACTCAAATCCTTGAGAAGAACAGGAAAGACATATGCATAAATAATAATTATGTAATATTTGCTTTATTTGGCCTAGAGATATCTTTAAAAAGTGCCTAAAATGTTGCCGAGATATCGGAAGTCGAGTTGGCGGGACTCTACTGTAATGGAATTACAGTCTAGAAACTGCATACTAGAAACCTGAAAACATCCGATTTCATATACTTCACAGTTATATTCATTAAAATAAAGAGCATGGTTTGTGGCATCTAAAATATTGATAGACAATATCCATATGATCTATCAGATGTATTAATATCCTACTGTGGAAGACTTCAGACCCCTCAACTCATCAGTACACCTCTATTATGAAATCACAAGAAACCTACCTGACATAGTCTCCTCAGATGACATTTCCTTCAATGCTGCAACAATTTGTAAAACTTTTCTTTCAAAATAACCACTGCCTATTTTGTTACAGGCCTTCCCATTAACGCTTACTGCTTTAAATTAGATATGATTATGAAAATTTTGAATGCAGAAAGTTTATACACAGTTAACTGATAAAATCTTAAAAAGGATGACAGTTGTAATTTCTGCTTAAAAATGCAAGGTATCTGTATTCCAGACTGCACTAAATTTTGCATCCATTTCACATTTTGAGTTTTACAGAATGTTATGGCAAACAGTTTAAGGAAATACAACATATTTTAGGACTTAATGATGAAAAAATAAAGTTGAATTGCCAGCAAAGAGGATCAAATATTTTAAACTCATCAATCAGTACATTTTAACTGTGATGATTCACTTTTACAAAAGGAAGCTTACGGCATTTTTACTACAGAGTACATAGAGATTTTTGCCTTATAATGTGCATGTTTCATCACAATCTTTCAAAATTTGTAATTAATAAAATGTATTTCACAATATCTAAAATAATCTATAAAAAAGTTCCCTGTACTTACACATTCAGTAGTATCGGTTTACAGTAATTCTTAAAAAAATATTAATATAAACTTACTTTTCTCCATCAACAGTGATCAGGAACTTCTTCTCATTCAAACAATGATTCTAAAATTTAAAAAATATAATTACTTAAAATGCTACTAGAGTAACAGAGTGTCCAGGGCGGACATGGCCCATATATTCAAATCACCTCCAAGACTTGAAAGTTAGGACTGCTTTTGACATGTCTTACACTAATTTTTTTTTTTACTGTGATAAGGCAAAGACCACAAGGACTATCGGCCTAAGGGAAGGATGCTTTCATAGATAGATGTCTTTTAAGGAAAACTAGCTCATAATAATGTTACACATAAGAAAACACTCACGCAGCCAGTCTGTTTACAGAGATATAAAACGTGGGTCAAACAGCCACTGTTCAGTGGTCTTAACCACTTGGCAGCTGGAAGGTCTCTATAAAAAGCCATATAATATGATTATTTCAAGAATCTTCATCTCAAATAGAGAAAGTACACATTTTCTATTTCCATCCTTAAGGTTTTAGTTTAATTGTATAACAGAAAACTTTTTAACCTAATACATGTTTACCTATATAAATTGATTACATTAGCTTTATATGGAGTGCTTCAGCATAGTTCTTGCATTAAATGTGAAAAATGGCAAAACTCAATATAAGTATAATGCTAATTTCACATAAAAATACAGAATTCCTCAGTTGTGAAGTAGATATTCCTTGGTTTTACTGTGCTAATATGGTTTTTGCACTCAAAAGAACCAACAGATGGCAGCACAAAACAGAACCCTTTTTTCTGTATCTATTTATATGTGGTCAAACTTTGAACAAAAAAAGATGAAAAATTTCAATTTTTCTCGCTAACTCTATAAAAAATGCATCTAGTTACCTAAGTATAACTGATAAATTTTTCATTCACATACTCTTTTACTTGTGAAAACAACAATATTGAAAGAAATGAGCAATAAATTTCACATTTTTTTTTTTTTTTTTTTATATATATATATATATAATTCAACATGTGGTTTTTACCAAAACTACCTCCCTCTTAAAGATAAAACATTCCCATGTAGTTTCTGTTTGCTAAAGTGTAATGCTGTAATGTGATCTTAGGGCTAAAACATTCCTATGTATTTTCTGATTGCTAGGGTGTAATGTGATCTGTAATATGATCTTAGAGCTTAAACTTTTCTATGTATTTTCTGATTTCTAGAGTGAAATGTGATGTACAGTCAAAAGTCGTTAATCCGGACTCGTTGGGACTTCCTCGATTCCGGATTATCGATTTTTCCGGATTATAGATCATCAGTTTAAATCTGGTAAGATGGCATGCAGAAATTACAAAATTTAAAATATGAAACCGTAATTTATGAAATAAAGAACAATTATGATCTAAAGGGTATCAAAATTTACAAAAAGAAAAAGCTTAATATTTATTTGTTTACTTTATTAAACATTTCCTTCAATGTAAGTTGCTTCGTTTCATGTGATAATACTTTCTCTTTAATTCTATTAAACAGACATAATTTCTTGTTTAGTTACAAAGTTCCGCTGTTCAAGTCCTATAATTGCTGTGTTGAGAATACCGACTAATTTGTCAATCGAAATGTTTTCGTTTTCAATAACCTCTGGGTCACTTTCTTCACTATCGGAAGCGAATTATAATGACGAGGAACTTGATTTAAATCATATTAAAGACGGAGTATATCGAGATGAAATACTACACTTAGTACGGAATTATAAACCAAATAAAATAAAAACATCTGCTCTGAAGATAAGGATAGTGCTGACAGATCAACTTCCAATCCGCAGCGTGAAATTGATAAACAGATTTCGGATTTCAAAACATACTTTCGCTTTGTAGATACAAATTACATATTAGTAAATATATATCAGAAATTCTATTTGACATAATCGTTCTAATCTATCATAATCTAATAATGACGTTTCTGCCCCTCCCCCTCTGCCGCAGAGCAGCGTGAAATTGATAAACAGATTTCGGATTTCAAAACATACTTTCGCTTTGTAGAAAATATATATAGGAAATTCTATTTGACATAATCAAATCAAAGTTCAAGCTTACTTTTATAAAATTGCTCTAACAGTCTGCAAAAAATAATAAGCCGGATCCAATTCGAAGATTAAGGAACAACGCAATCTGCAACATTAACTGAATTAGATAACTTTAGCTTAGCGTATAACTCTGTTACACATTAAACGCGCATGCGCACAAACATATTCGCAGCTGTAAGGGTCTTATGCGCTCTCATAAACGCCTGTGCGCATGCGTGAACGCGACGCATGCGCAGAAAGTTTGTAGCTTTGAGGTCCGGATTATGGGTGTCCGAATTAACGACTTTTGACTGTATAACGTAATCTGTTTGTTATGTAACAGGATAAGTATGTTATAAGTTTGGGAAGAACTTTCCTTTCAGGAAAGAAAAGAAATAAAAGATTGAGCAGGGACTTTTCATTCTTCTAGCCTCTTTTTCTAAAGATAGCTCTCTCTTTTTACTTTGTGCCATTATGTAATTATCAGAAAGGCATCACATGCTTTCAAAAGTTTCATAATTTGTAAAGCTGTGTGAATATGCGAGTAATAACATATACTTGATATAATGCTATAAATTTTATATTTTTGGCATTTACTTAGTATATATACACATTTAGAATATCATCACATGAAATTTCCTCCTGAAGTAAGAACAGAATAAATAATATTATTTGTACTATATTAGAATTATTGAGTTAATTTTCAAAACCATATTTTTATTAATATTTGAGAAAAACCATAACTAATTATACTTATATGTATTATTATGCTGTAAAAATCAATGCCCAAAAAGTCTGCAGATTTCATACTCTAAATGGTCAGTGGTTTCACTTCTAAAACACCACCCTCCATTCCAAGGTGTGCAACATTTTTTTCGATATATTTTACATTTACGAAGCCCGGAGGTACTAGTTATGAATTAATTTCATTAAAGGCTGAAAAGCTTTCAATGTGCCTTTCAAAGGGTTAAGAGAAAAATATTCGAAACTATTAAAACAAAGTTATTTCTGTAACTTATCAAAAAGTAATCATTACATATAATTTATGGGAAAAAATTCAAATTGGAATATCAAAAATTTAAAACATGCTATTAAAAAAAAACAAAAAAAAAAAAAAAAAAAAAAAAAAAAAAAAATGAAAATGGAAAAAAATAATTTTAGAAATTTAATTTTTCTATTAACACTTGGCATGCGGGTATACTTTGCCATGAACTTAAGGCGTGCAGAGGCCGTTTTTTCGTGAATCGCGCGGAAGTATGGTTATTCAGGAAAATCGCAGTAAATTAAAAACTACTTCGTTTTTATGAACGAAACTTTTTTATTATACACTTAAATATATACTGTATAATTATTTAACAAAAAAAAAAGACTTTTTAAATTTTACACTGTATTAAAAAATATTTTTTCATAACAAGTACAAATAGAACTGATAACACGTTAATAGTTCTTTACAGTATGGTACCATTCAAAGCATTTTCCTCTATGAAGAGGAACACGGCAGAAGATAGATATGAAACACATATCACTTTGCACTTTTTTTACTGCGCACACGCGACATCGTCTTTGTGGACTTTTCTTCTTCCCGGCAACAACAATTTTCTTCAATACATATTTGCACATACCCATGGACAATCTTCCAGGAGAGTCACGTTTTGATATCATTTGCTCTGGTTCCTCAGTGCTGATTTCGGGTAGTTCATCAGTAACCCAATGCCGTGCGATGTCGTGCAAAAATTTCTTGTATTTTATATTTTGCGTCTTTGTCAAATTGTATACTACATATGCCCTCATCTAACGATACTTGTTGTTTCGGTTTGTAAATGTTTATTGAATTTTTCAGCAAAATAATTTAGTATAGGCCTGATTGTAACTTGATAAGTTGATCTGATCGATTATTCAGGCCTGAAGTTACAGTCAGGCCTGAATAATCGATCAGAATCGTCCGTGATGTCTTCATTGTTATTGAAATGCCAAGCCCTCCATATTTGGAGAAATCTATCCCTTGATATAGTTTTTGAAAAAAAATGGTGTACTTGTGCAGACATCAGTTGACTATAATCATCTCGGGCGTCTTTACGAACTTGTCCCATGAAAATAATAAGCCCCAAAAATTTTTCATCTCCGGAATCATAATATCTCTCCATTTCATGTTTTTGGGAGATATTTTGAACCGATTCACATTTTGATAATAATACCTGTTTGATTCCGCGACTAAATATGCAAAAAAGTCATCGCCTATAAATAAATTTACTGCATCAGCTGTGGATTCAGGAACATTAGCCATATTAGTTATCCAAGGATAACCCAAAAACTCTTCAAGGTCAGGAGGATTGCCAATCGATGACCATTCATCTGCTTCTTCATCAGAACTACTAGAAATTCTTCTTCGGACGAACACTCGAGAATGTGGAATAATGTCATCGTCACTTTCTTTGATATCTTGACTTTCAGAATCACTTTCATACAAAAAGTCCGATAATCTGTCAGTGCATATTTCTTCATCACTATCTTTGTCACAACTGTTCATTTTATCAACTTATTTAATCAATAATTTAAAAAAATGAAGCTTCAAATTGAGAAAACGCAACTTGTACTTTCTGGAGCTAAGAATTTGATTGAAGATGAAATAACTCAACAAAAGACCAAGTAACTTGACAATCATAACTTCTTGAAAGATAAAATGCAAAGTGTTGCCTAGCAATGCAAACAACACCCATATAATGTCACACATACATATAATTATATGTATTTAATAGATTTGTGGTGGTTAGCGGGTATCTACCACAAATCTACTAAATATGCATTTTTACATGACCTGCGCTCCAGTGACAGACTGCAAAAATACGTTGCCCGCATGCCATACGTATTTTTACGTGACCCGTGCTCCAGTGACAGACAGCAAAAAAAACATAAAAATACGTTGCCTGCATGCCAAGCGTTAAAATTTCGGTACTTTTCCGTTTTGCGGGCGCAGGTGATAAAGTCGCCAGTAATGGTACAACTGATGCCATGCAGAATATCCTCGCTGGTAACCTTTTATGCC